TTGGGTTAAAGCCGCTCTATAAGACTGCATGTTATTATGTTAGGGGTACATTTTTGCCAACTGATGTATGTTTGCAACTAGAGATGTACATACATAATTGAAGGACCAGTTAAGTAAGAACCAGCTTTTACACTTCGAGATTTTTTATGAGAAGAGTGGTTAGGGTTAAGTCGAAAAGAGGCTTGGTTGATGACGGAATATCGGGCCCAATACAGACACCCGTCAAATAGATATTCTCATTACCTATGATATACATTCTTACCGCATATTACATCTAATTCGATGTATATAATATTATTATATCATATTCGTCTCTCCTTTATAAATAAGTAGAATTAATATTTTTCAGTATATTTGTATTATACACATACGAAATATAGTATATTTTCACAATTGAAATTTATTACAATTTAATCGAATCAATAATAGTTAAGGATAATTATTTTTAACATATGTTAATTAATTAAATAAAAAATGGCAAATTGAATGAAAATATAACGTACTTTAACTTGATTCCTACTTCAGGTAACGTACTTCCAAAACTTTCATTTTAGTACTTAAAATATAAAGTTTTAAATATTTAAGTATTCGGGTAACCGGTTGAAGCATTAACTCTTTCTCCTAATAAACCACAATACATAAAAACTAATTTTAGATTAATATATCCATGTCAGCAATTAATATCGAGTTGGATACCACATCATTCGTTACATCAACATGGTAACATGTTAATACTTCAACCGGTTACTTGAGTACTCAAATGTTTAAAACTTTACATCATAGGTACCAAAATAGAAGTTTTGAAAGTACGTTACTTAAAATAAGAATCAAGTTAAAATACGTTATTTTTTCATGCAATTTCCCCAATAAAAAAATATGACCGAAAAGACCAATTGGGTCCTATTTTTTTTTTTTTTGGCACAGGACCAGATTTAAGTTAGGCTTTGCATGACGAGACTAAAAGACCGATTTTAACTTGTTTTTATGATATCTATTTAATCGACGTAATTTGTGTCATGTTTTGTATTATTTGGTAGTTGGTTAATTTATTTGTCCATCAAATCCTTATCAACAACCATTTGCATTGAAGTCAAATTATGCCAACCAAAATGAATCATTGATTTCGATTATATTGCCATACCGTACAAGAAGTGTAGGAACCTACATGTCTTTATGATTACTCCTTACAAAACAACTACCTTCATGTACATAGCTAACGTAGGGGGGTGTGCACGGTTTAATCAATGATATCCATTCACATGTGCATTAATTGATTTGTTTCAAACTATCAACCTCAACCAAACCAACACCTGACTAAAAAAATGACACTAACAAGATTCGAACTTGGGTCTGAGGTGGAATAAAAGTCTTACAAACCAACTCTACCAAATAAAACTTATTCTCATTGTAGTTTCAAAATACATACGTTGGCACACAACAAATTAATACGGTTGCATCTTTCACGAACATAAATTTTTTTACCTTTCGACGGGAGAATAATACGGTGGCACGTGCCACAGTATGTACCATCATAGATCCATCCCTGTTTACAGGAAACGACACCTTAATTTGAAATAATCCAACTTCATTATGAGTTCAAATTGTCAAACTAGTTGAATCAAACTGTTTTCTAATAAGTTTGACCAAACTAAGGTATGAACCGAAAAACCATCAAACTACATACGTAACAGTTTAGTCAAAGTTTAATGTAGTAAGCCATCTAAATCATACCATATCGATACTAGTTCATACGAGGCTAAAAAGTCCAACATTAATTAAACACAATCCAAGAGATACAACTAGACGTGCACAAACGGCACGACACTCAAGGCTGATTGTAAAAAGCATAATCCAGTGGTTGGCTAGGACTCTCAATTACAAAACAGTCGTTATATTTCAATCCAAAAACATAGCTGTAACTGATTGGTTGTCTTGCATTAATAGGTGATATCATAAATTAAACATTATTTCTTATAATTTAAATAATATAAAGTTAGTAAAGTATTATCTAACCAAAAATAATTATTAAAACTATAACATCAAACATGATAATCAATTAGAATAATCAATCGAACCCAATCGAGAACGACAAAGACTACTGAAACAAATTCATTCATAGAATTTGAAGGTTTTTTCAATTCTGATAAAAAAGGAACCGTTTACCAAACACTTACCCGATAAGTACTTATCGGGTAAGACTCTTGGTCTTTGTCTCGTTCTTACCGGGTAAGATTCTTGGTTCTTATCATATTCATCTGGTAAGGTAATGTAACTTGATGTTCATTTACCCAAGTAAACGTTTGATAAACGAACCTTGAGACACAGTAAGGACGAAACTTAAATCCAAGAGCTAGAAATCAGGTTATATCAATATCAAATCATTATAATAATAAAAAAAACAACATTTTATTCTTTGATAGATAATAATATGTTTAATATATATAAGAAAGTTAACTTTGTGACGGAAATAATGGAAAACATAATATTAAATAAATAAGGTAATGAATTAATTAATCAAAATTCAAAAACCGACCAATAGAGTAGATGAACATAGCCTTTGAAATGGTAAACGCAAATTAAAAAAAGGTTAAAAATAATAATAACCAAAACTACCATTTTTTTGGGTTCCTGACCAAAATAACCCCTTTAAATAACAAAATTATATTTTTAACCCTAAAAATTAAAAATCTAACAAACTAACCATCTATTAACTTTTTAGCACCATGTCATGCATACAGGGGCAAAATCCAAAAAAAACATAAAAACAGGGACTGAAGTGCAAAAACCAAAAATTCTTTGACCTTGATGTGATCCGCCGCCAGTTGATCATGACCCTCGCATTCGGGTGTGCATTGCGTAAAGGGCCCATCGACTTGATTTTTTTTTCTTTTTTCTTTCTTTTCAATACAAAACACTATTTAATTTTCTTCTTCCCAATACAACACTAACGCATCACACGGTGCTTATCATTAATAGTGTTTTGTTTTGAGGAGGAAAAAAGAAAAAGAAAATCAAGTTGTGGGCCCCTTATGCACCACGCACCAGCCGGTGATAAGGGTGAGGGTCATGGTCAACTAGCGGCCAGTCACATGAAGGTCAAAGAACTTTTGGTTTTTACATTTTAGTCCCTGTTTTTATGTCATTTTTTTTTTTTGCATTTTGCCCCATGTACGCACCACACAGTGCTAAAGGGGTAATAGATGGTTAATCTGTTAGATTTTTAATTTTTAGGGTTAAAAATATAACTTTGTTATTTAAGAAAGTTATTTTGGTTAGGAACCCTTTTTTCCCAGTAGTTTGTTGTCATTAATATCATCGTCCCTGGTTTTTAATATAATTGTTTTTATGGTCACCATACTTTTTATTTCATTTCGTTTTATGTTTTTGAAATTAACTTTGTAAAAGAAAAAACTCAAGTAAGCCTCTGTTAAATTAAAGTTATTTAACAAATTTCATGTTCCATACAAAAATATTCTACGTGTCTTTTTATTTTAAAATGGGAATAATTGTTTTTTTTTTTAATTAAAACCGACCTCAGGACACCCTCAAGAGAAAGTTGATCGGAATTGAAATTATATCGAGCAGAGTTTTAGAAAGAAAAAAACTCCTAAAGAAATGGGCATTGTGGTAGGGGTGCTCATGGATTGGTTATTTGAGTTGAAAATATTTGAACAATTCAACCCAATTTTTGTGGTTTGAAAAATCTTAACCCAAGTCAAACCAAAGTGCAACACAACCCAACTCAACCCACACGGGTTGTTCGGGTTAGTTGGGTTGGTCCGCTGGATACTTTGGTATATTAAAATATTTTTCTAATTTTGAATATGTTATTTCTCTACTCATAATTTCTTTTTCATCATTAATCATTTGATACAATTTATCCATATTTCTTACGTATATCACATTCAGTTAATTTTCTCAATTTATATATATAGTTATTGAACATATATACAAATGAGTTATATAGATATGTGAATAGATTGAAAATATATGTATATGAAGAACGTACGTGCTAGTGTAATTGTCTAATATATATATTAATAGAAATTCAACAATCATATTAAATCCAAAAAATAAAAGGATATCGGGTTCATCGAGTTGTGTTAAGTTCAAATAATAGTAACCCAATATCTACGATTTAAAATTTTTACAACTCGATTAGACATCGAGTTGCTTCAGGTTGAGTTATTTCACATCGAGTTAGGTTGATCGGGTTAGTCGAATTTTTTAGCACCCCTAGTTGGGTGGTGAGTTATAACTTTTTTTGATTAATGTTTTACCTAAAAAAAAATTTATTCATATTTTTAAATAAAAAAGACACACGGAATTTTATCAGGAAATGTATTTTACTTGTTTAGTAGAATGTTGGTTTCAGATGAAAAACGAAATGAAACGAAAATTTCTATAACTAAAAAAGCAATTATTAAAAATTAGGAGCCAAAATAGTTATAAACTACAAACTACAGGGGTGCAAATCGTAATTTACTCGAAAATAATAATTAAAAGACGATAGTACAGTATGATGTGTGAAAGCTCCTTTTTTTAGTTTTTAAACTTTAACGAACGTTTTTTTAATTTAGTTGCAAAGTCAAACGTTCAGAAACGGTGGCTTTGTTTGGGAAGATCGTTAAAAGTTAACGGTAAACGTCGCATTGGTTTCTCTGCAAGTAAATTACGTTTTTAGTCCCTAGGGTTTGTTAGAAATGTCTACTTTTGTGTTTTACTTTTGAAATTATGATTTTCTTTACTATGATTTATGATTTATTACTTTTTTAGTTACTCTTACTTAAAAGTAAGTTAGTTTTATGGACAAAAAATAATGAATTGCAATCCAACATGGATAAAAATAGCAATTCCAAAACCATAGGGGAAAAATTCGTAATATGTAAGAAACCATAGGGACGAAAACCGTAACTTACTATCAAGACAACTTAGCACCGCTTCTCGTTACCAACCGCTTACCATTTAAGTTTTGATTCTCTCCCTTTATCTCTCTCTCTGTGTAATAAGACAATCCAACTGTAATCGTTTCTGATCTTCCCGCCGTTCCTCTCTCACACACACAGAAACATAAACACCGACGGAAGGACAGTCGAAGAACTGCAATCCAGGCGTTAATTTGATACAAGGAAGTCACATTATGGAGTCGTCTCGACGGGCGACGGCGAGATTCAAGTTCTTCATCCTTATTTTGTTTTTATCGGCGAGTCTCCGTGAATTTGGATCTTCCGCCCAACTTCTGCCTGATGAAGAAGGTACAGTGCTCCTTCATTTAATCACTCTCTGTTCTCGTCAGTTCATCACCTTTTTTCCTGTTGTTCTTTACTAGATTTTTCATCTGAATGTTTCATCGAGTTTGATTGTTCTTTGATTTTTGGAATTTGCGTCTGGAGAAATTTGGTTTCGGCGGGGGAAGAGATTTATTTGGTTCGTTGATAATAAACGTTATCTTGTTATCTACTCTCCCTTTTTTTACTTTTTGAAGTCACAAACATTTTTTGGGAGCTATTTACGATGTTCGTTTAACAGTAAACAAAACGTTACCGAAATGTAAATTATAAGAGACAATAGAAGATGTTACTCCAAAATTGAAGTTACAAACATTTTGATTATGTCTTCGGACTTTCTCTTAAGAAATCCGTCAAATATTCGACTTAGCTTATTTTGATAATAAATATTTAGAGCGGCGTTGAAAACAACCCTCTAGATTATACAATGATGCAGTCCATCATCCATTTTTCTTTTTCTTTTTTTTTTTTGGTTTTTTTTAATAAAAGGTAGTTGTAATCGATTAAATGATAATCTTGATGATGAAATTGGCAATTCTGATTTAATTGTAAGAATGTACAGGGTTGTATAAATTAAGTAGTTAAATATAGAAAATATTTTAAATAACAAAATGTTAAATGTTGAATATCAAGAGTAAAAAACTATCATTAACGATCTAACTGAAACTTCGGATTTTACTATTAAAATTCAAATATGAAAATTGAAAGAATTGAACAAGGGAATTATATCAGTTTGTATAATCGTAAATACTTAATATCGTATATAATAATTTATTATATTCAGCCTTTCTAGGTGGGCCCTGTGGGTTCATTCCAACTTGCGTCTATATTGAATTCGGCCTCCAAAAATTATTGGTTTTAGATAACGTGCATCCATAACATGTCAGCTTTGATGGGCCCTTTCTTTTTTGTTTTTTGATTTGACCATATGATATAATATAATTATCCTTGCTAAAGTTTGATCCTTTTTACTGCGTTTTTTTTTCTTTATCCCCACTTTTTGAATCGGTCTTGTACAATTAGCAAACTTTCTTTGAATCCTTTTAACATCGATGAAATGGTTATCTCATCTTGCAAAAGACTCCTGAGTCGTAAATCTTATTGGTGAAAATTCGGAGATATTTGATACCATGATTATTTAGAGAACTAAATTTAGGGTATGAAAGGAGATATTTGATATCATGTTGTATGAGACAGGGAGGGGTGGTTTAAATTTAAAATCATGGCCCGTCTTTTCTTTTCAGAAGTTTGACCATATCACGTTAACACGTTTGGCCAGTTGGCTGCTGGCATAAAAAGACAATTGATGTAGAGGTATGGTGGACGTGGGTCAACCATGCAAACTATATAGACGTCTATAATTAATTGGCTCCTGTTCCCTTGTCACGTGTTCACGTGAGATCAGGTTTAAACATGTTCTTCTTGATACAATTCCAAAATAATTAACCCATCTCTTCAACAGTTGCTGAACGACTAAACTTCTGTAATGAGTATATTTCAATGAGAAATGAGCTTCACTTTTTCTGGAAGTTTGAGATTATATCATGAATTTTTTATACTTGATTCATATAAACATGACTAAGCAATAGTTTTCTTCTTGTCGTTTGAGAATTGATGAACACAGGGACGTCTTTTTTTTAGTGAACTCACTTGGATGGTAATAATAAGAATCGTTCGTGACATAACATCTGTTATGCCAATTCATTAATTCCTTTTCCTGTTTGTAACAGTGGAAGCTCTAGGTTTAATAGCTTCAAAGCTACAATATACTGGTTGGAGTACTGTTGCTGCAGATTCATGCAGCACAGGTCGAGGGCTTAATCAGACAATTACGGCGAACGACCGGGGGCTTATAAGATTCGGTAGCAATGTAACATGCAACTGTAACAGCACTGTTTGCCACATATCAATCATGTACGTATCTGTCTCTTTATATGTGTGTATATATGTGTATGCTGTATGCTGTATGCATATCTTAGTTTCCAGTATGAACCAAAATGCGCAAGTTGACGATTGATTGAGTGAAAACTGCAGAGTGAATCTTATTATTCAACTTCGCGGGAAATATGTTAGCTAGATAACCATACCATGAGAAAGTAGTGTCATAATCTACTTGGTCCGCTATTTCTTATTTCCACCAACGATTATCCACACAAATTTTTATGTTTCATTGATTTGTCATGTATATCTACTAGACAATTAGAATCGTTTCCTGTCCATTTTAGCGCTAATCAGTGTTTTGGATATCTTTCCATACTTTTATTAAATTGCAGCCAGTTAAAAGGACTCAATTTGACAGGAGTTCTGCCTGAAGAATTTGCAAATCTCACTTTTCTTCGAGAACTGTAAGTRTACCATCAAACTTCCATCATGCTGAAAGTAATAAACGTTCCTTTCATTTTTTTTGTTACTACATTCAGTTTCTAAGTTGCAAAGCATTCTTTTTATTACAAAAATCATGTTGTATTATATTGTACATATTCAATATGTCTTGAATGAATAGTTTTGTGTCGAGTGGACAGCTAATGAAAAATGACACCAAGTGGGTTTTGTACTATTTACACAGAGATCTGACTCGCAACTATATCAATGGCACTATTCCAGCAAGTTTTGGGCGGCTTCGTCTTAGCATTTTGTAAGATTTTTTCTGCTTCAATTTCTTCAATCTTTCACCTGAACTCGGTGAATGTRCTATTGACAAATTATTTTCCACAGGAGTCTTTTGGGGAACCGCCTAAGCGGTCCCATACCTGAAGAAATAGGTGATATTTCTACCCTTGAGGAGCTGTAAGTAAAGATCCTTGGCTGACAAGTCTATCATAAGTGAGGCCTTCCATTGTTCTTAAAATCTTGACCTGTACCACAGGATATTGGAAGACAATTTGCTTACTGGACCACTTCCTCGAAACCTCGGGCGCTTGCCTCGATTGAGAAGATTGTAAGATCATGCGACCTTCCTCCGTTTACCCTTTAAACTTCCACCTTTTAATCTGACAACACGATGCTACAAAACATGAGATCAGCCAATAATAGAAGTCAAAGACACTTGGCTCTTTCAATGCYTGTGATTAGTCTTGGCCTCTATCAGGGGAATTGATTGCCAYTAATCCCCATTAATTGTAAATGGGAGCCCATGCATACAGTAATATTCACATACTTTTGCGTTCGTCCAGCTTTTCAGTTGAATGTGTCATGTGTTGTTTAGAATCTGGGTTACTCATATAATTTTTCCACTTCAAAGCATTACTGGAGAAGCTAGCAAGACCATTTATTTACATTTAGTTTTGGCAGTTTCCCGATATAAACCCGCTATTGTGTGTTTGTTTATTTGGGCTACGCTTTATGTGCTTTAAAGATGATACATGTTCTCACTTGTACAAATTCATGCCACGGAATTGACATCATTTCTTTTTTTGGTAGTCTTTTTCATACTAATGTTGACATGTTTGTCTTATTCACAATGAACGGTTTCTCTTGCAGCCTTGTTTCTGCAAATAACTTTACAGGAACCATACCTACATCGTTTGGCAATCTGACTAATATGGAAGATTTGTAAGTCATAGAGATCTTTGTTTTGATTCACCAGATATTTTGTGAAATTATTGAATCTTCTGTCAACTTCTTGCAGTAGGATAGATGGGAGTACTTTATCAGGGAGAATACCTGATTTTATCGGAAACTGGACAAGACTTGATAGACTGTGAGTGTTCTTTTACTTTCTCTGTTGACCGTTTCACATCTAAAATTTTGATAATATATAATCTATTGTGTAGTGATTTGCAAGGAACATCAATGGAGGGACCAATTCCTTCCACGATATCTCTGTTGAGAAATTTGACTGAATTGTGAGCACATTACTAAGTCTCTAATTATTTTTGTTGAGCTTTTGGTCAATAAATGGGTGGTAATAGTTTTGAGCCTTGAATTTATTTTATATATGCATTATGGTTGTCAGGAGGATAACTGATTTAGCTGGATCGTCGAGTATGAGATTTCCTAATTTGCGAGACATGACAGGATTGGAAAGATTGTGAGTTGATTTCATAGTCGTGTGAYAGTAATGAGYTAAATTTGTACAGAAAGTTGACATGATAAGTCTTCTAAATAATTTTGCTGCAGGTCCCTGAGAAATTGTTTGCTTACTGGCCCAATACCAGACTACATAGGACAGATGAGTGACATGAAGAACTTGTAAGTCCATTGTTTCTATTTATGTTAAGACAAAGATCATTGGTCTTTTGAGTTTGTGCTTCTGTCTATAGTTCATCTCTAAGTATGGAATTCAAATGGATAAATATACAGTTTTATCTCTAAATTTGGAATTTACATGAATAATTTCGTGCTTTGATGATGAAAGATCAAGCAAGTTTTCAGGACCAGTGCAATGGTGGCAAAAGAATCTACAAACTAATGGCCTTCTCTTTGTGAACTTATTGTTGACATAAACTGATTTAATCTTTAGCTTCTTCCACATGAGGTTCATGATATACGTTTCCATCAGAACATACCTTAAATGGTTCATAACATTTAGCACTTAGCAGTATATAGTAAAACGAAATAATGAAGTACTAAACATATACAAAACAGTCAATAGTATTAGTACTATGTCTGGCAAAGGTTTTCCCCCTTACTTGACACAAATTATTGATTTTGTCGTCATCCATTGCTTTTAAAGTGTTCTTAACATGTCTCTTATAGCAAACGTTCCTTTGTCCCTGTTTATAGGTTTCCAATGATATCTTCCATTTGGTGGAGTTTACTGATCTTCTGAGCTTTTCCCTGTTTCTTGTTAATTTGTTTATAACAACTTCAAATCTCTAATTTTTATCTTATTTTTTTGACATGATATTATATCTTTGTTGATTTTGCATGATCCTCGCTTTTAATTTATTTACGCTTAAGGACATCTTCAACTGAACCATTTCTTTTGCAGAGACCTGAGCTTCAACAGGCTGAACGGTCCAATACCCAGTACATTGCAGACATTAAACTTTGACACCATGTATGCAACTACTTAGAAAGATGTTACATCTATCATACATACCTCGGATATCTGTATTTCTTGGTAAAATTTGAGATAGAGTGTTATAATGTAGGTTTCTGAATAACAACTCACTATCCGGAGAGATTCCTCAATGGATATTTCTGAAAATTACCAATGTAAAGATGTAAGTGATTCCCCTTGATTATTATTTTTATGCTACATGTTTACAGGAATGGTGATCTATGATCATAGAGATGATTTTATCACTGTGGTGTCTTACATTAGGATTTAGGCCATCGTAAGAGTTGCTTTTTAATATGTATATATTGTGGAGTTGGAGCTAAAAAAATTGCCACTATTTTTATTGCAGTGACTTGTCTTACAACAATTTTACACGTATATTTTCAAAACAGAACTGTCAGTCATCTAACTTGTAAGTTGTTTGCAATCCTACCTTTATTATATTCAAGGTATATTTTTTTATGTTCGCTTAACTAGTACCTTTACCACAGGAATTTAGTTTCAGCCATGTCATCTTCTGCCGCAAGCAACGGGTATGTTCTATCACCAACCTATACACACACACACACACACTCTTTTGAATTGTTCACAGTGATGTGACCTAACGTGAATTAATTTTATAGAGATGCTTGGTGTTTGAAAGACGAACTTTTGTGCAGCAGAAACCCCAACCGTAAGAATAACAACTAACCACTCCCTCTAGGTTAATTGTTATATCCATTTGTAGATCTTCACAAATAAATCTTACAATGCAGGTCATTCTTTGTTTATTAATTGCGGTGGACCCAGATCAGACTTTGAMGGAAATGAGTATGAAGAAGATTTGACCAACCAGCAATCTTACTTCTATTCTAGTCCCGAGAGATGGGCTTATAGCACGAATGGGGTTTTCTTGGGCAACGATGATGCTCCATTTGTTTCAAGATCAGAAAATGTGACAGGTGGAGATGTATATAGAACAGCTCGCTTTTCTCCCAMTTCACTCCGGTACTATGGACTGTGTTTGCGGCAGGGAAGTTATAAAGTGAGGCTCCACTTTGCTGAAATTAGTTATTCTGATGACATGACATTTAGCAGTCTGGGAAGACGCTATTTTGATATATCTGTCCAAGTAAGTGACATGCCAGTTTTTGTTTAGATTGTATAAATCTCAATTGGAGAATAATTAGWTACAAACTTAATTTGGTTTTTCATGTAGGGGGTTCTGASGAGAAAGGACTTCAACATCATGGAAGAAGCTAATGGTGTTGGCAGGGGCATCTCCATARACGTCARTRATGTTATGGTTAATGGTAGCACCCTAGAGATTCACTTGTACTGGGCAGGGAAAGGGACTACTGCAATTCCAGATCGGGGTGTATATGGACCTCTTATATCCGGTATCACAATAACACCAAGTTAGTACATTCTTTCTATCATCTGTTCCTTTTTCATTGTTCTCACTTTAAGAGCATGTATAACCTAGTTATCCCCCCTTCTTGCAGACTTTGACGTCAGTACAGGAGGA